CCATTACTGCTTGCGGGAGAGATGGATGGACGGACAGAGGGAGGGATGGAGGGAGAGAGAAGTGAAAGAGAGGAATGATAGTCCGACACGAAAGCACGAGAGCCATGTTGCGACGGAAGTGAAAGGAATGAAACATGTGTGAAGTACATATATTATGTATACATGTTTTATGTACACCTGGGTTACATGGGGAAAGAGCGTTAAGGGCACTTGACGGAGTTAATACGAGATTTGGTAAACATATTATATTATAACATGTGAGAGACGAGGAGGCAACTAAAACACTAGCGAGAGAGAGAGAGAGAGGTGAGAGAAAGAGGGAGGAGGGGGAGAGAGAGCAAGACCACTCATTAGCAAGGAATGCAGATCACAGCATGATCGATAGCACCTCGCCGTTCTCGTGTTTCCCCTACACAAATAGCTGATCCCACATCTCGGTGTACTTGCAAATAGGTCCGGGGAGGCCGCCAGACCAAACATAGGTCAGTGTAAAACGATCGAGAGACTCGCTCTAGGATTACCGCCAGCCTATCTGATCTCCATGGTACAATAGATCAGGTAGACTTGCGGGCATCGTGTTCGCGACCTCGCGACCCCGAATACAAACATACACCGTACTTGTTGGCGTATCGAGTGTCGCGACGTATGCATATGCTAGAGTGTGAATGTATCGGCTGTCGATGAGATTAGACGGTGCATTGTCGGATGCGCGTGATTGCGGTTTCGAGATGAAAGCGATCTGTTTGGAAGTATGCTGGGGAGGAGGGAGGGAGGTAGATGGAAGAGTTTTGAATGCTGTCACACATAATCGATACACAGACATACGTGTGACTGTTGTAAACATGCGTCACCCCGAAACAAAACAAACATGTAGCTTTGTACAGCAGAGAGAAAGCAAAAAAACTAAAACTCGAGGATGAGCGAAAATATACGTAGAAAGCGAATCCTGAAATCAAAAAGGAACGTCCACAAGACAAAATATATACAGTGGAACCTCTCTCTAAGAACACCCCTGAAATGAGGACACCTTTCTAAAGACAGCTAATAGTTTTTGGATGCGATTTTTCAACCCCTGAAATAACGGACACCTCAATTGGTGTCTGAATTAGAGGGGCTCTGTTGTATAAAGGGGAGTCAGTAAAACTGTAAAGACAAGGAAAAAAGATTATGCACTCACGCATGAAAATGTGTTTACAACCTCTCGTGGTACATAACTGTAGTCCCATAAGAATTACCAAGTGCCTATATACACCGGGACAACGGGACTGTGTACTAAATAATAAGTCAGTAGCTCATCGACGAGCATTAGAAACCCGAGGCTTCTAACATAGTCTCTTCGCTATACTTGGAACATTAAAGTTTTTTGGGCTTCTGACACAGATGTCGACTCATCGACTCATTGCTATTGTAAACTTTTATTGAGAGGTGTAATGTAAGACTCACCCCTCTGCCAAAAGTGGGGCTGGGTGCATGTGTGGAGGAGACTATCTCTGTGCGACGAACTGCAGTAGGGAAGGAAGAGAAGGTGTATGCCAAGTGTAACTTTGTACAGAATCATGGAACTATTGCTCATTCTTTTGCGACACATAATGACCTGGTATACAATGACACGATAGCTAGCGTTAAAACATGTGCCCACATGAGCCACTGTGGAAGACATAAGGAGAAAAGAGGGGAGGGGAGGGGAGGGAGTCGAGTGATAGGAAGAAGGAAAAGGAGGGAGGAGGGAAGGAAAAGGGGGGAGGAGGGAAGGAAAAGGGGGGAGGAGGGAAGGAAAAGGAGGATGTGGAGTAAGGGACGGAGCTTACTTTTGGTGGGTGAACTACAGGAGGTGTGAGAGAAAGGTGAGTCGTCCTGTGCGTCACCAGCAAACTGCAGGGAACACAGATGAACTTGAATACAGTTCCGCATTGTTCCGACTAGACTATCTCTTGCTTGCTTGTTTGCCGCGCTCATTGTGGAGCGTAAAAAGTATGGCAGAGGGTACATGTATGGGGTCAGGGAGGGTATAAACATGTACAGGGGAACATCCTAAGAATACTCTCTGGGTATATATAGGACACTTGGTTCTGCCCCATACCAATGCAGTAGCGTATTATACTGCAGGGACACCTATATACAATGAGTAAAGGATATTCTTGATGTCCCCAAGGTGTCCCCCTATCCATATGTTTCACTGTATGATGTGTATGTACATGTATGTATGTATGTACCTGGTTGGAGGAGTGCGAAAGGCCAGAAGTGGAGTCAGCTCTGAGAGCAGTGGTGTAGAGGACTCTGCCTCCGTTTGCCATACTACCAGTCCCTGGGAGAGTGAGGGAGGAGGAGGACGAGTGAGGACCACTGGGAGCTGGGGGAGGGGGGAGAGGGAGAGAGAAGGAAGGATGGTAAGAGAGAGAGAGAGAGAGGAGAGGGAGGTGAGAAGTAAAGATAGGGGGAAAAGATCAAAGAATGAGGGGGAGAGAGAGGGGAGAAAGAGGAGGAAAAAGGAGGGAGAGAGAGGAAGGAAAAAGGAGGGAGAGAGAGGAGGAAAAAAGATCAAAGAATGAGGGGGAGAGAGAGGGGAGAAAGAGGAGGAAAAAGGAGGGAGAGAGAGGAGGAAAAAGAACAAAGCGGGGAGAGAAAAAGAGTTAAAGAGGCAGAAACATTAGAGCTTACTGCAATGAACAGCACCCCAGACAACGATCATTCTGAACCAACAAAACTCGCACACTACTCAACCCCAGCACGTACTCCCTTTTATGATACCACATGAAACTGATTGTACAATTACTTCAAAACGCTGATCAGTTTGTCATAATAAAAAAAATAAACACCAGCTACGTATCCTCATTAACTCTAGTATATATATTTCTAGTTTAACCCCTTGGTCACACAAATTTAACCCTCACCACACACCTTGCTGCAAACAGACCTGCAGCATACTTCGGTCAGACCAACCTATTGGCCTTCTCATTAACTCAGAATTTTTCTTTGCCGAAATCGCAACCAGTGAACGCTACTACACAAGTCGTTTGAAATCTCCTGTTTTCAGTTAGATTCAAACAGGCACATACGTACACATACGTCAGAGTTATATCAGCGATACTAAAACGGAGCTGCTTTTATAGCCACTCGGCTGCTGGGAGGAAAACCACATGATATGTCTCGGATAGATAGAATGTCAGGAGTAATGCTCATCTTGTTTCATTTCTGGCTTGCCTAGCCATATCCAGTGCCCGCGAGGAATGATTGGCGATAGATACTCGGTGAGAAATGCCGCTAGCATGTGTACATACTAACACTGTTGTGTGCACACCAGTGGGAAAGTTGACGGGCGATTGCGATACACCCACAGCCACATGTGTTTTATGGTTACTGAACTGAAGACAAAACTCCCCATTATAGCCACGTAAACATCAATGATGCCCAGTACGTCCATCTCCACACTCTGTTATTCAAGAAGTTCAGAGAGTAACTCAATATTGCAGTGTTTACAGCGCCTTCAAATTTCAGCGTAATGTGACAACAGTTGAATACCTTAAAAAAACTTACACTTGGGGATCAAAAGGTTTGCGAGGTGCGCTAAAGCTAAAAGTAACTTATCTAAGTAACTTAAAGTATTAAAAGTAACTAATCTTTTGTTACTAAACGGTGGCAGACGGTCGGAGGAACAGGGGGAGAGGTTACCTGTATTCACACAAGACAAAAAAGGGTAACGTGACACCATAGGCAATCTCCTAAAGAGAGAACGTTACCGAACCCCGCTTCGTTTGTTGTGTAACTGATACTTGAACTCTAAAAGGAGTTGATGGTCGGTGGCAGTCGCATTATTGCCTGCAACTACGTCTGTCCTTGCAAAGGGCGAAAACGATACGACACAGAGCCAGATTAGACCTCGGGAAATCGAGGAAGGACTCCAATGATTTGCTCAAGGGAGTGGAAAATTGGGTTTGTTTGTCCTCCGCTTTTGAATTTTAGCATCCACACTCGAGAGATGTTACGTACAGTTGGCTGCTCGGTGCTTGGTGCACTGGACTTCCAGTCACTTCGCTATGCCTGGGTTTTACTTCTGACAGAAGTTTGTTCTTTCTCTCCATCTCAATTTGCCAGGCACACGTCACGCGTTCCGCCAACTCCAGAAGTAATGTGGGAACCCTCCCCCCTCCCCTCTCCAAGAAAAAAAAAACGTTTTTGTTTTTGGGCGATTCTGTTTTAGAACACTGTATGATACCTTGTGTGTAGTGTGTTGGGTATCAGATGAAGTCGTGTGCAAGACCAGTAAACTACGTGATACGTTGGATCGAATAAGCAAGTAAACGGGAGAAAATCAGGAGACTATTGAAGCCACGTGATATAGAAACTCACAGTGTCCTCAATTACATAACACAAGAGAAATTACGTAACGGGCTCGCTTGCCCAGCCAATAAAAATGCTAAGTGGGCAGTACTGCTAGTGGTAAATAAACACTAAGACATTCGTAACTAGTCGCAATAAAAACAGAGTAGCTTGATACTGTTGCAAGTAATTAACATTCAATACACAGGTCAAGTCAACAAGCATGACAGCTTAAGACTTTCTTACTATCGCTAACCAAGGCAACAACGGGACAGAAGAAAGTGTCCTTATTAGTAAGATGTCCTTATTTCAGGGGTTAAATTGTATGCAAGAAACAGCTCTCAGGGAAGAAGGTGTCCATTTATATATCAGGGGTGCCCTTAGAGAGACATTCCAATGAGTAGTTCAATCTCAGATTATGGGCTTCTAAAAAGCTTCCCCACTGGATTATTCAGGAGAATATCCACGGTGGATTTTACTGAGCAGTGGAAGAAAGAAACACACAAAGGATGTATATGTAAAAATCTCCACACACTCACCAACTCTAATTAAGAGAATTAGTGCACCCGTGATGGAGGAGGTACAGTCAAACAATGCGTGTTCAAACTTGCAAGGAGAGAGAGAGAGAGAGAGAGGAAGGAGAAGGAAGAGATAATGGATCTCGCCACCAAACCACACATCTCGCCGACAGGAAGCCGAAACAGGGGTCAAAGCGCAGCTGGCGAAGCCTGCTCAGCAGGGCCAAATCGAATTAGGAGCCACATACATTGATAGTAGGCCACGTGTTCCAATCCTTCTAATACTAGCTATATATGGTCCATGATATGTACATCATGGTATATTATCGTGGTGTGTGCAAATGTGCCCTTGTTCCGTAGTGTGTACGTATGTAGCCCAGTGTGTGTGTAGTAACGCAGAGCTCCAAGTGGCAGGTGGCACAGATGGTGCTAATTTAGTCCAGACACTTAAGGCAGAAGAGAAGTCCTGGACAGGCACCTGGAGAAAGGTCACACTGGCATTTTCCTCCATGTTATCTGTTTGCTTTACTTTTTATTTCGGCTGATGTTGTATAATTATACTCCACTATGCATGGAAACAGCTAGTATGTGAGCTATGTAGTTGACTTGTTTGCCTTGCCTTTCTACCTCGCTACCAAGTTGCTGTATAATGTGAGGGGCATGTCTTTGCCTTATGTCGTGTTGTATTGCCAGCGTGTCAAGCAGTCCAGATATAGCTCAGGTGGTAGAGGACTCTGTCTAGAGAGCAGAGTGTCGTGGGTTCGAGTTCCACCTCGTGGCATACCTATTATTTCCTTGGAAAAATGGTGGTGTTGATATGCCGCCACCCTTGAAAGGTACCGTAGCTCAAAGATAAACAACGCAAATAGCCATCTGATGCAGCCGTTCATTTATGAAAGGGGCAAACACAAGTTAAACAGTGGTGACCTTTGATTCATAACAGATTGCTACATACCTCAATCGCCTAACAGTTTTTACGTAGTTGCTCATTGCATATACACACACGAGGAGTAAACAAGTGTCGGCTACGCTTCATCTGTTGGTACTCTGCACTCTACAATGGATTCGCTTCGGGTGTTTTGCACATGCAATAATTGCAGTTGCAAAAACAAAATAATGTCTGATACGCTTCAACTGCGGGGCAACCTTAACTTCACTATCGATTTGCTTCAGTTGTCTCCCAGTAACAAACAGCAATACACCCACAATTATGCAGTTACTAAACAGGACAAAGTTCAAGCTATCGAAATATACATACTACTGTGTTTTGTCACGAAATACGAATAACTAATATGGATATAGGTTACATCACACAGAGGTATGTATATACATAGGTTACATCACACAGAGGTATATACATGTAGGTTACATCACACAGAGGTATATACATGAAAGGGCAGTTCAGTGTTGTCCTGGGTGTAGTGTATATGTATTGACTCCTCATGATTATAATGGACGGTCCATGGTATAGTGCGTCTAACTAATACAGATTTGTCCACATTATTAACCCTCGGCGCGCATGCGCAGCGAGGGTTACAGTACTTGTTCTGTCTGTCTGTCCGTCCGTCCACGTTTTCTGCCACCACGCGCGACAAACAGGTAAAATAGCGACATCAACGGGTTCAGCGCTACACCCGCTTCATTTCTAAAATGCCGAATTTTGTAAAAGTGCCGCGTTCAGAAGTTATGGCATGAAAACCAAGTGAACAAGCCAATATGCAAATTAGCACAGGCTTACCTCGACCGGGTCCGCTTGCTCTGTGTACCTTGGAGGCACAAGAAGTCACAACGAAGGGCGTTTATTGATTCCCGCATGCTATCTACTACTGTAGCTAGCCCGTGTCAGACTCTTCGCGAGCTACTCCGCGAGTAAACGCATTACTACAAATAGCCCAGCCCATCAATTAGCGGTACCGCGCAGGCGCAGTTCGCCGAGGGTTTGCACTTTAGTGCTTTTCATTAAGCAGAGACCATAGACAATTTTACAGGCAAAAATCGTAGCAGAGTTCCCAAAGAAGGTGTTGTGGCAAAACTCGTGGTAAATGGCAGGGCAAGAAAAAGTTACAACATCCAACGTTGAGGTGTCAGTGTACTACAACTGACCGTAAGTCATTGCCAGGCGGTATGCAGATATGCAGCGGAAAAGACAGGGTGATGAAATTACAGTCATTATGCCAATTGAGTAATTCAGGTGTCCAATAAGCTAATTTAATACTGAATATCGTACTTGACCTAGTATGCACAATTTGAGCTGAAGGGAACAAAGAGAAAGCATTATGATATTGGCATGGGATTTTATAGGTATATAAACATGCAGAGGAAAAGAGTGCTCCAGAGGAGCGGTAAGTAAACTGTTGCGAAGTATATCATGGAAAATTTGCTAGTTAAGAGTTCTGAGTGGTGGACAAGGGAAGGAGGGAGGGATGAGAGGGAGGGAGGGGAGATAAACCCACCCTGGCTACAATGGTGAACTTTTCCCAGGAAGCCAGTCAGTGGGAGGAGGGGGGTGATGGAA